CATGACGGGATGAAACCCATTAAGAATCTCGATAAACCCACAAAGAGTGAAGAAAAAGAAATTCATTTCAATGCTAGAGCTAAAAATTACTTGTTTGAATCTTTTAGCATGGATGTGTTTAACCAAGTGTTCACTTTAAATACGGCACATGAAATTTGGTTAAAACTCCAAGAGCTCCATCATGGCACAACTAATGTCCGTGAGCAAAAACATTATCTAGCTAAACAAAATTATGATTCCTTTAAAATGAATGATGATGAACTTGTTCATGATATGTATTCTCGTTTGAATCTAATTATCAATGAGCTCCATTCAATCGGATTAACGAAGCTAGATGATGCAGACATCGTGAGGAAGATCATCTCCATGCTACCACAAAAGAAATATGCAAGCATCATCATCATCCTTCACAACATGAAATTTGGTTAAAACTCCAAGAGCTCCATCACGGCACAACTAATGTCCGTGAGCAAAAACATTGTCTAGCTAAACAAAATTATGATTCCTTTAAAATGAATGATGATGAACTTGTTCATGATATGTATTCTCGTTTGAATCTAATTATCAATGAGCTCCATTCAATCGGATTAACGAAGCTAGATGATGCAGACATCGTGAGGAAGATCATCTCCATGCTACCATAAAAGAAATATGCAAGCATCATCATCATCCTTCACAACATGGAGGACTTGAGCACCAAGACCCCGGCCATAGTTATTGGTAAGATAGTGGCATTTGAAATGTCACGCAAGATGGGTCAAGAAGAAGCCTCTTCATCAAGCAAAGGCAAAGCTCTCACATGTAGTGAGAAAAAGAAGATGAAGGGCAAGCAAGTTGAGACAAGCTCAAGCTCAAGCTCCTCAAGTGAAGAAGATGAGGATGATGATGATGAAGATTCAAGTGATGATGATCAATCTTCCTCCTCCACCTCTGACCTTGATGAAGAATCAATCAAACTTATCAACAAGGTAGAGAGGATGATCCAAAGGCTCAATGTCAAGGGTGTGCCCATCCAAATTCAAGATTTCATTTTCACAAATCAAAGAAATGAGCAAAGAAAGAAGGGATGCTATGGATGCAGCGAGTTGGGGCACTTTGTGGAAGTTTGTCCAAACAAGACCACACCCAAGACAAAGAAGAAGGTGTGCAAGGAGAGCATGTGAGAACATCTACAATAGTATCTTCGTCGACTAGCTCAATCCATCGCATGCTAAGGCAATGTGACAGCTCTTCCCTGACTCACAAAGAGAGCAGGCGAGGCACCGCGTAAGCCAGTGCGTCTGATCGGCGATGCTGGCTACATAGCATGTTTAGCGAGTAATAGACATGATCTTCTTACGCTCGGGAGGACAGAGCCGATTGTATAACACTAACCCCCTAGTGTGCCATGTTCGTGGCGCGTCGTAGTAAGTTTCACTATTTCTCTATCTTAATATAAAGACGTGAAAACCTTTTGCGTATTCGAGAAAAAAAACGTGCCCCAATTTTTTTACTGATAAGAGTATTGTCGGTGTTTCGGACCGGGGGGTCCTCAACCAACTAGTGAATTTGAACTGCGTGCCCCTAATCCCGGATGGTGATGCAAAGAGACACAAGGTTTATACTGGTTCAGGCAATCGGTGCCCTACGTCCAGTCCGAGAGATCGATCTTGTATTCCTTGCACCGAAGTGCTTGTAGTAGGGGGTTACAAGCTGGGCGAGAGAGGGAGCTAGTCCCAGGTCTCTGCGTGGAGCGGTGCGGGCTGCTTGAGACGTTGCTCTCAGACAGCGGGGCAGCGTATGTCCGAATCTATGTGAGCCTACGCGAGTGTTCGTCTATCTCCCTTCTATCCCTAGAAACGGCCCCGGTCTCTCCTTTTATAGTTGAAGGGGGGACAGGGGTGATACATGTGTTTGCTATGCAGCGTCTTGTGAGCGGAGGTGGCGTGCCTGAGTCCTATAGCTTACCACTGTGACGGCATGGTCAACGGAGCAGCCTTGTCCTTGATGCACTAGAGCAATGCGCCGGTCACACCCGATCCTGTGCGACGTGGGAGCTCCAGTGATAGCTTGGCGCAGGGCATGGCTGACGACATGCCGGTCGTTGTACGTTCACAGTGTAAAAAGCCGAGGCTCAGTTGGTGCCGAGGCCGAGCCATCGTGGGGGGCTCGGCGGGCGCGAATCCCGAGGCTACCGAGACCCTGAAGTGGATTGCCGAGGCTTAGAGGGAGCAGTTGGTCCTATACACTGATTCCGAGGCTATAGTGACCCGGACTTGACTCCCCATGCCGCGCTGTTCCTGGAGTAGGAATTAGGTAGCACAAAGGCAATCTGGGCGCCAATCATGGGCATAAAGCGATCTTTGCACACACGATGGCGGTAACCCCTCGCTCGCCCCTGTCTCTCCGTCACGTCGGCCGCCTCTCTGCATCATCTTCGTCGGCCGACGTCGGTGACATTGCGGGAGTGGTTGGACGCGTTAATTGGACGTGACGTTTTATTAGAGAAGTCGGTCGAGACGGAGGCGACGAGGTTATTGCTGAGCCGACCTCGAGCGAATCAAAGAATCGGTAACCCGTCTAAGGCCTTGCGGGGCAGGGCCTCGGGCGAGAGGGCCTCGACGAGGCGGAGAGTCGGCCTTCCGTCCGAGGCCTTTGCGGTGCGGGCCTCGAGCGAATCGGAGAATCAGCCGAGACCCCGTGGTTGTCCTTTGGCATTGATATAAGTAAGGCCTAAGGAATCTTTTCGATTCTTGCTTAGGGTACCCCTTTTTATGGTATTCGACAAGCATGGACTAATAGAACATATATTCCTCATAGGTGTACTGGATTAGGTTCTATTCTACACCTATGGTTGTAAAAAATCTACCATTTTATGTCTTTATGATTTCCTTTGCTAGTGTACTGTGCCAAACAGTGGCCAAGTATCACCAATTGACAAGAGCATCATTAGAGAGATCACTAGATTTGTTACTCCAATGGACAGACGGTGGTCTAGTAGCACCACACATTTTCACCGGTAATATGAACAAAAGTCAACACAAGACCCATTACATCCAACTTTAGACATTTTTTTTCTTAGAACATCCCATACCAAAAGTATCTGTCCTATTTGAAGATCAAAAGCATAATATTACTATAGACATCCACGTTATGTGCAAAATGACAGATCACCATTCAGTTGCACAAGGCGCTTTGTCGATGACCTATATAACACACAAAAAAGATAATTAATTGTCTACTGCACTAAAAGGATAACAACAGGCTGAGAAGTGATATATCTCATATAAAATTTGATGATACTATTGTATGTTCCCCACGAATAAACACTGCTGAGCACACACCAACAATATGTAGCACACAGTGAGAGCTTGCATTGCATGCTGCCAGAGAATCAGCACGCTTAGTTTGTAGCATCCCTGTCGTATCAACCTACTCGCAAGTGGCCAGTACAGTAATTGCCAGGTCAATGCAGCTCATGCATTCCATGTTGAAGCAATTATCGGAGACACCAAGAAAATTGTAGTTCCATGTAATTTTTCAGAAATTAATTTTGATTTCCTGAACATAAAAACTGATGTCGAAGTTTTTACCCACAACTTAGCATTTGTTTCATGAACCTGTTCAGCTGCATCTCCAAATTAATGGCTTTGTAGTTGTTCCTACCTACCAGCAAAAAAAAGGCTTGGTAGTTGTTCCTATCTATAATGCAAATTTGGGCAACAGGCACAATTAAGTTTCTATCTCAACAACTTGAGAAAGCCATCCCATCAAAAGAAACTAATCACTGTAGAGCATGTTTGCGAGTCCAACAAGATACACTGAATGTAGCATTTTGGACATTGTTCAAAACGTTAAACCTTCAACCAGTTACAGTATATAGATGGTCAACAAGTGAGATCACAATAAAATTTCACATGGTATTTTTCAAGAGCACAAGTTTCACATGGTAGAAACCAACAACTAGCAGTTATGGTACCTTGATGAGACGGTCGGTCAGGTACTGCCTTGCTATAGCAATGGTATTATCTTTGGATCTGAAAAGAATTTTTTTTTGCTTCTTTACTTATGTGGCAATAAAATAATCTAGAATAACTAGAACAAGGAATTCAAGATATTACTAGGGCATCCGGCCATGCAATGGAACATTTAAGTGCATCAAACATCTTCATGTCCCGATTTTGACAAAACAGTGGAGCATCTCTTTTTAACGCCTCACTCAGAAAAACCTTAGAACATTCAGTCCCAATTCTCATGCCACCTACTATTGTAGACGGAGAACTGCTTTGAAGAATAGCTTTGCCTACTGGAGTATGTGGCCAAACTATTGAAAGCAAGACAACCTCTTTGCCATCTTAAACAGCAGAAGCAAATATAGAATGTTATTCAACTACTAAGACACAGGTATACAGTTGCATGTGTACACATATTTTGTGCTAAATATAGGCTTCATTTCCTCTACCTGAACAGAATTAAGCACGATGTAAGTTCAATAAATGTAAAGGGAGCTAACCATATTGGGCACAGTCTGACTTTCTGCGTCAATCTTTCTTGTCCGGCCATGAAATGTATTGAATGGCGGCTTTATCAACCCTTGCAGTTTCTGTGGACAGATTAAGCAAGAGATGATAAATTCCACTAATTAAGGGTGGACATATCTAGTGGAAACAGCTACTTTGGTGAAAAGCTAAGAACTGTTTTGGTTCTCAGCACCTACTGCAAATTTGCAAAAAAAAAAAAAAAAAAAAAAAAGATTGAAGAGAGAGCCTATGAAATATTGTATCACGCTTTTAGAGGTTTTCAAGTCTAAACTCAAATCTGAGTTTTTTGGAAACCAGAAGGAGGATGTCTCCCAAGACATCATAAATTTGAGCGTAAGCTTTCATAATGATGATGCACAATTGTCCACATTTTTTTTCTCTAGGGGTCGGGTATTGAGGGGGTTGGTTTGCCTTCTCATGTTGATTTCTGTTAAAACCAAAGAGTTCTCTACTTTTCACCAAACTCTTTATTCAATATGTCTAAATGGCAAAGTAGCAAAAGGGGAAGATAACCAGATTATCGCATGGGATTCTACGGGGAACGACACCATCATGTTTACACTTAGATGTGACCTCCTCATTCTTTTCATGGGGGAAGCCATTTGGCACTTCGATCTTCTTTTGTAGTATCTACAATAAAATAAACTTGATGTGACACATAAATAAAAAAATTACATGAAGCAATGCAATACAAAAGAATCAACAAAGGGGGATAATCACATTGCATGGAATCTGATTTTCAGCTACAGCCAGCTGAGGGTGACTCTCTTCAGATTTACATCTTACACCCTATGAAAAAAAAGGGGAGATAAGCAGTGACAAAAAATTTCATACCCATTAGAGATATATAAATAGTAAGCAAATAACAGTATAACCTTCAATGATGAATTATCACGGAGTGGATTGCTCTCTATCGTTGCCTGATAGTGAGAATCTATCACAATCTGTTTCAGTTCCACTATTTCACGTTCCACTCGTGCCAATCGTTCTTGAGCACAAATATCCAGACCATCCTCTTTATCCACTCTCAACTTTTCTAGCTGAAGCCTAGTAGCTTGACAAAGAAATACTGCAGATGTTTCCATGTTTTTCATCCTTGCCTACATTAGTACAAAATTATATTCATCAACTTCAAGTATTGATGGTAATGTCTCAAAAAGATTATGGAAGGCTAATAATCTACTGTGTGTCTTGCTAACTGTAAAATGTATGAATCAATTAAAGAATGCACTTAACTAAATGAATATATACAATATTCATCTCTTGATTACAAGGGGACAGTAATCTTATTACTTCATGGCCATAGGCTCCATTTACTATCACAAGCATCTTACATCCTGTCATTATCATATTATACTAATCCGATTAAGTGTAAACTATTTTAATAGAAACAAGTCGCAATCCTTATCGCAAGCATCTACATCCTTTCACACTCATGTATATACTAATCTGACTAACTCTAAACTATTCTAATACAAACAGTCGCATTAAATATATATTATCTGAAAGGCATGAACAACTTGGTTGTGAAAGATCAGTTCATCTGACAAGTCAGCGCTGAAGATTTTATCCAGCTTATATAAAAATGATATTCAAACAGTTACTAATACTACAAAAGAACTTAAGGAGACAATATTAGGGACAAACTCCTGTCATATCTAAGGTTTGGTGCGCATGAATAAGCAAGTAAATCTAGAAATCACACATTTTTTATGGCAAGCACACTGCAGAAAGCATGAAATGCAATAGGACGGAATCCATCCAGCAGAAGAACGCTGCTTTAGACATTGACACTAATTGATCAGTTATCCTGTTTCAAACTTTCAATAGATTTCAAACCATTTTTTTTTTTACAAAATCTACGAATATCTTTCATGTGTCCAACCCATTATATGACTGGCAAAATTGTATCACTGTGCCTGTGAATGACATGTGGGACCCAACCTCACTTGTCGTTGACATAGACTAGTGTTATTTTGGCAACATAGGGTTTCACTAGTGGTAAATATATTAGCACCCAAAGTTTAGAAGTCAGACAGTATGCAGCCTGAACAGCATTCTTTTGGAATGTAAAATGCATCTTTCAGCATATAAAAAATTATTTCAGAGCAAGTGCAAGCTGGAAAGGTAACAGATTTAAGATGAGCAGAAAAATGTCTGGTATAAATAGCAGTTGCCAAGACAAAAGGGTGATGACTAGTTCCTATTGATAAATTTTCAGTTTATTTGCAGAGTTTGATATCACAAATTTCAGTTCTTTTGCAGAGTTTAGTGCCTTCAAACAATAGAGTTTATTAGTATACTTTAGTCACACTTGCGCAATTATCCTCTCAGTTTCTTTCCCCAATCAACATCGTCGTTTTGGATTCTCGAACAGTGTGCTGAAAGCGAAACCTTAACTTGCAATCATATTTCCTATTTCTATGCAGAGTGTTCTATGGTGCACTGGTTGTACTAAAGTGGGGCAATCAGTGCCTTGAAAACAGGAGACATCAGAATGTATGTAGGAAGTAAGGGGCGCAGTTTGACTGTAGTGATGCACTCCATATTTTACACTTTTACAGTGTCCAAGGCGAACTATTTTTAGGCGATGATCACAACTGTACACAAAGATTGGCTGTCCTCTTTACTATCAAATAGCATCAATCGCAGTAAATTACTTTGAGGTAGCCTACTAATGAAAGCAATCCTTGGAGGCAGTGACTAGGAACCTGGTACACCTAGGAACCAGAACAAGAAAAGATACAACTTTATGAACCCAATTGTTAAACAAGGACTTACGTTAAAAAAAATGTTAAACAAGGACCAGGAATCTTGATATCAGCATAAGCATATATAGTATTAGTAGCTACAGCCTACAGAACCTCTTTAAATTTCGTGTAGTTTATTCAATTGTACCCCAGCCCTATGCCCCTATCACTCCATTTTTAAACATAAAGTGGAACCATGTGTAATAGTTAAATGCTGTGGGTATAAAATCGAAACTCTTTCACCAATGATTAAATACTTTGAAACAACCTAGTCAAATAAATTAGTCATTAGAAGCACAACCACAATCACAACAATTAAAAAAAGACCCAGAAGGCCAGAACTTTGAGTTGAGAGTAATTAAAGGGAAATCGTACTCCCAACTTTAATAATTAAGGATAAGAAGGGTTTGCTCACCGATTCCGTGATGGCCTTGGTGAGCTGCCTCCTCGCCCTCCTGATATTCCTGTCCAACGCCTGGGCCTTGTTGTCATCAATGCGGGGGAGCACCCTCTCCAGCACCGCCGGGTCGACAAGGGCCATGGCCTCATCAACGAGGTGAGGATACATCTCGCGCATCTCATCCAAATTCTTGGCCTTGTGCGCCAGCGCGTCCTTGCCGGATTGGTGTCCGGCGCTCTTCTCTTGGGCGGCGCCCTTGCTAGATTGCCCGGCGCCGCCGGCGTGGCAGGGCGCGGCTAGCACCAGCTTCTTCTTGGATGCCGGTTCCATGGCATCCGAGGTCTGGGCCGGCGTTAACTCGGGCGGCGGCGGCGTCTTCCTCTTTTTGCGCTCGAGCGGCGCCTTGTGGCCCTTGGTGGACAGCGCCGTCGGGCTCGTGGACGCCCTCTTCGCCGCTGACGACGGCTCCGTGCTGGTGCTATGCTCCGGCGGCGGCGTCGTCAAGGCGGGAAGAGTGGGGGCCATGGCGGGAATAAGCGGCGGGTTGTGATTTTCCTGCGTGGAAGAGGGAGCGACTAGCGAGGAGGAGATTTTCATTCAGGAGGCCACCTAAATAAAAAGAAAAAGAAAAAAGAAATCGGGAAATGAAACGTCCCCTCGCGTTGACTGTTGACCTTGGAGGCCGCGGGTCCACCATATGCGGATATGCCCAGTGCCGCAGTGCGGGACCAATCAAAAATCAAAATCCAAAGGTGAAAAAAGAAGAAGAACCCAGTTCAATATACCACGTACTGTCTAGGCTTATATTTGGTTATTATATATAACAGGATTGCCCACTAGTAGATCTTTGGACATAGAAAGTAAAAGCTATTGTTGAATCATGTTTTTAAAAAAAACATATTGAAGACGTATTAGTTTTTTCATAAGTAAACTTACTCCATCCGTCCTAAAAAAGAATGTGATTCTATATTTGGGACAAGTTAAGAATTTTTTAAGTCACACCAAATTTATAGAAAACATTAATGTTTCTAAATAGGTTTAAAGTATATTATATAATTAATCTAGTGATATTTATATGGTAGCATAAATTTTGGTGATTTTGTATTTTTTTTTGGAAAATTGTTAGACTACTCAAATTACATTTTTAAGACTAAGACAGTAGGTAGCTTTGACCAATTTTATAGAAAAATGTACAGATAACTACACCATGAAACAAGATTCATTGGATACATCACTAAATATATTTTGATGGGGCATTTATTTCATATAAAAAATATTAATATGTTTTAGACGAGTTTGAAATAGACAAAACTAAATTGACCTGCAAATTACAATCTACAATCCAAAATAGATGTAGTATAATTTTACAAACTATAAAATGAAGTGGTACACATATAGTAGATCAAACACACATGAGTTAAGGTTTTAATTGGCCTTGAAAATACCTGGCATCTTTTGGGGCCAGTTCGGTTGCCTGGTCGTACTCAACACGTCCGTCTGCCCTGGCCAGCTCGAGCATGGCTCTCAAGGTGCAACCTCGTGTGTTTATTTTCACTGGTCCACGAGAAGCCAGGCTTAATAGAGATCGTGTTTATTTGCCTGTACAGAAGGGTGTGGTCATCTTGTATTGAGAATGTGGAAACATTACCACCAAACTTTCATTTGCTCTTGTCATTGGCATTTCATCAAACACAAGCTTGGCATGAACTTGGCATGAGATTGGCCACCTCAACGGGGACCTCTGCAGGGCGTGGAAGTCCTCCTCCCATGTGAGGATGGCAACGGGGCGGATTCGGATCGGGTGGAGTCTCTGTGTACTCGAACCCGAAACCCAAAATCAAAACCCGAAACCGCACCGAACACCGATTCGGTGGTAATCCGTCCCCAAAACCGAACCCGCGGATACCCAAAACCCGAATGGATACCCGAAACCCGCTTTGTATGACAACATAGTAAGAGAAATAAGGACTTTCTATAAACATATGCATGATATATATACACATACTCACATGTATAAATAAGAGGCAACAAATAATAAATATTTTCATGAGTCAACTTAGAATAAATTTAATAATATAAGTAAACAAGTTATTATTAGCATATTATAAAACATGAGTTTTAATTCCAAATGATTTATTTCGGATATCCATTGGATATCCACGGGTGGAAAACCAAACCCGAAACCGAACCCGATTGGTTTCGGGGCCCCGAACCCGAAAACCGTGGGTGAGAAATCATCCCCGAACCCGAACCCGCAAGACCCGAAACCCGCGGATATCCGACCCGAAACCGCCCCGTTGCCATCCTTACTCCCATGCAGTTTGTGCTCCAACGAGCAAGAGACGTAGAAGAACTTCTCCCAGAGCGGGGCGAAGACGAGGTCGGAGTTGGTGAGGAAGAGGAACTGAGGAAGGCCACCTTCTGTTTTCTCTATCGGTAGTGTGGCGCCGAAGAAGCGCAAGACGGAGGAGGAGGAGGCGAGGGCGGCCTTGAAGCAGGAGGGGGAGGAGGACGCGGCGGAGAGGAGCACGTCGCGACGAAACAACGCAAGGTTCTCCATCTCGTTAGCGTCCATGATGGTCGGGAGCGTGCGTGGCAGGATGAGGCGCGGCGCAAGGAGGAAAACGGCTAGGGACGGTGTGGGGGGTACGACCCCGGATACCCACGACAGGTCACATGGGCTATGCCTCCAGGGGCGGCCCAGCCCGCAAGAAGGAGCCTTGTGGGGCACGATTCTGTTCGGCGACCCCCGCAAGGCACGGAGAGGATATCCTAAAGATGTTACGAGATCTGATAGGATATATACGATCCCATGTTTCTTGTAATCTGTTATTACTTTCCGGTTATTTCTCAGATCTAACCGACTTGTAACCTTGCCCCCTGGACCATATAAGGCGGGCAGGGACCCCTACGAATTCACGGCAAATCATACGATAGCTAATGCAAATCAACAGACCACAGGAGTAAGGTATTACGTCGTACCGACGGCCTGAACCTGTATAACTCGTGTGTCTCTGTTGCCTTCTTGTTCTCGATTACACGCTCCTCTACCGATCAATCTACCATCGTGGGGTGCCCCTCGGTGGACTGTCGACGATATTCCATCGACAGTTCGCGCACCAGGTAGGGGTGTGTGTGCTGTTTCCTTGTCGAACAAGATGGTTTTTTCCGCAGGCTCTTCGTCCCTCCCGCAGCCCGGCCAGATCTTCACGGTTGGATCCATCACGTGGGTCATCAACGCCGACGGAGTTGGAGAGCTTCTCGAGCCGGTGCAGATCGGCTCTGCACCGACCACCCTCACACCCGCAACTGCAAATCCAATCTCGGAACCACTTCCGAGGTCGGCTCCATCAGCTACCCACCTCTCGCTTCCCTGCTACCAGAGGAGGCATGTCAACAACGATGATATGATCGAATCTATCGATCAGGTCGGCCTGAAACTCGCCGATTGCCTCTCCACTGCTGAGTCGGCTCTGGACACCCTTGTTCAACACCGAGCACCCTCCGATCCCGATCTGTCAACGATCAATGCTCGGCGGACTCCAGGGCCCGCCGCCCTTTCCTTCGGGCTCGCCAACACCGCAACTACATATCAGGACGCCCTGAGGGGCAAATTCGCCGACCAGCTCGCCGACCAATTTCCACCAACCGTCAACATACTGCACGCCGGCCGGGATCTCGGAGCATCCCTCCAAACTATCCTCGAGGAAAATCCAGACTCCGAATCTCAAGGATCCACCGAGCCCCTCGCCGAGACTTTCACCAAGCAACCTCCTCCCCTGCTTTTCCGGGGTGGCGCGATTTTCAACGTCAGTATCGACAGCCCCCCCCGGAATGGTGAAACAGACGAGGAACGCGCCGCCCGTGAAAATAGGAACGCCAACCGCGCGCAATGGCGTGATAACGAACGCGCCATCGCGATGGCCGAGGCCGCTCGAGATAACCAGATCGATTCACAAGGAAGGCCCCTTCATCGCAACCTCAACAAAGAATTCCTCCGCGTTGACGGCCACGACGTTTTCAAGACTCCGAGCGCTAATTTGGCCGTGGCCGCCAACGAACTCGCTCACCTCCCGCAGACGCCAGAGCTCGCCAAGGTCGCCGCCATGCTTAAAGCGGCACACTGTCAGGTTAACGAGATCCGAGAAGTTCAGGGACCTTCGTGCTCCACAAGCGCGATCCGCCGATCAGTTGATCCTAGATCCAACCGCCGCCCCAGTCAAAGCCGCTTCGCCGACTAGTCACCACCTCCCCAGGGGGGAGTTGGAGGCCACCGCGTCGAGCATCATCGCCAGCACGACCAAGAGGTCGAACAGGACGCCCGAGTGCACCTCAGCAATCTTCGGGACGCACGATGGCGTATCGACCAACGACGTTTCGGGCGCCATGAAGATGAAGTACGACGTCGCCAGGAGTACGAGCAGGAATACGGCAACCCGGACGCAGCTCTGGAGCCGATCGTCGCCGGCAACACTGCCGATGTTGGTCCTGACAGCCCGAAAGGGCCCCCTGCATTCACCAGGGCACTCCGAACGCTCCAGTGGCCTCGTGGTTTCAAAATCACCGTGTCGAGCCCTATGAAGGAAGGATGAACCCAACTCGCTGGGCTGCAGGGCTTACACCACCGCCGTCCGAAACCGCCGGGGAGACACCAACGTCATGGCAAACTATCTCCTGTCATGCTCACGCCACCGCCATGAGTTGGTTTACAAGCCTCGCCCCGGACTCCATCGGCTCTTGGGAAGATCTGAAGAGAATCTTCACCGACAACTACATGGCCACATGCAGGCGGCCAGGCACCAAGCACGACCTCAACCGCATCAACCAAAAGCCGTCCGAACTACTCCGCAGCTACATCGACAAGCTCGAGATGAGGAATTCTATTCCCAACATCACGGAGGGCCGAAGTCATCACCGCCGTCGTCGAGGACTTCATCACCGAGAACTCCGTTCTAAGTTCAATAGAAAGCCACCCACCGGCATCGGCGAGATGATCACAACAGCCAATCAGTACGCCGACGCCGAGGAAGCGGAGGTGCGTTTTAACGAAGACACGGGCACTAATCGCCTGCTCGCCGCCATGACGACGATCGCAACGACGATCGACAAAGACAACGTTCACCACCATGACGACCGCAACAACAACCGACAATACAACGATCGCCGCTTCGACGACCGTAGTTTCCACCGGACACGGGGACGTGATCGGCCGATGGATTCAAATCTAGTCAAGATCGCCATCCGCCGACCAGATCACTTTGTCGCCAACGCGTCAATGAGGCATAAAGCGTAACTCGACGACGAGCGGTACAAAAGATTACGGACGGTCCGTGTTCCCCTCAAGACAAGAACGCCAAACACAAGATGAAAGATTGCCTTGGTTTGGCTAAGGAATTCGGAGAAAAAAGTACAACGACGACAATGGTGGGAACGGAGGACGCCGACCACCAGGGGGTAATAATAACGCCTTCCAAGACCACGACAAGGTGGTCGCCACCATCTTCGGGGGTCCCGCCTCCAACGAA